TTGTATTTGAATTTTTAGAATTTTATTTATTATAATTGAATATTAATTAATTATATGTAAAAGACAAAAAAATTTATAATTTAATATTAATTGGTGGGAATGGGGATCCCCGCGGGGAATCGGGACGGAGCGCAAAATCTGCCCCCCGCCAAAAATCTCCGTGGGGATCCCCGTCCCCACCATTTGCGGGGATGGGGACGGGGACGGGGACGGGGAGGGACTCCCCGGCCTCGCGGGGCCCCGTTGACATCCCTAGGCCTATCTGACCTTTGTTTGATTCAAAATTCCAACCCTTTCTGTGCCTGGAAAAAGCAAACAAGGAAGGAAAGGGCTAAAATCTCAATATCTGATCCAGGAAAAAACCCTTACCTTAGCAGTGATAGAGATAGCATAGCTGTAGACAGGGGTCTATTCCAATAGCCGGTAAATTCCTCCTTATTTATGCAATTTCGGAAAGAGTTGAATTAGGTAGTAGCTTAAGCACTAAGAAGCTCCAATCCATGTTACCCCAGCTATATGTGTAAGGGCAGGTCCGAGGTGCTCAACCTCGGACGTACAGCAGTAATTCTTTTACAACCGAAGTAAGGAATAAATCCAGAGCTTCCCGCTCGAACAGCAGCATAGCAGTTACGATGGACATCCTCACATCAAATCCCGAATATCTTGCTTGGCTCAATCTCCGGGTCCCAAAATAGCTGCTTGGAGATACGCATCAAATCCCGAAATAACTGCTCGGAGATATACATCAGATCCCGAATATTTTGCTTGGCATGCCACGTGGTTTCTTCATGGGAACATATAAATACCCCTCAAGGGCCACGCCAAAAGGTAATAAAAACCAACCCTAAGCTCCTTGCTTCTCCGTTCTAAAGGTAGCCCCGATTATTGCTAACTTAAGCATCGGAGTGTCTACCCCGAGGACCCACCTCGAGGCTTTGCAGGTCAATCCAGAGTGCAGATACGGACTGAAGAAGGACTTCTGGTTTGGTGCAGTTACAGAGGGACGGAGAGTCTTTGAAGAATTTTATGAGCAGATTCAATGATGCAGTGTTGGAGGTTAACTCTTTCGACCAAGCCGTGGGAATTACAGCCGTGATCTTAGGTCTTAGCCATGAGAGATTCAGAGATAGTCTACTCAAACATCCTGCCAACACCTTCAGCGAGGTAAATGATAGATCATTGAAATTCATAACTGTTGAGGAATATGCCCCGTCGCAGAACCTAACTCCTATTAAGAACCAACACCCGGACTGGAGAGATGAGAATCCGAACAGGAAACGGATGAAGACAACAAAGAACCGAGGTCCGATGTTGACTTCCACCCTGAGATTCGGAAAGCCGAACTCCGCACCTTCGCAACAACCTGTAGGTAAACCTCCAGTTAATTGGACTCCTTTTAATTTACCGAGGTCACAAATCTTTATGCAGATTAAGAATAAGATGGACTTAAGACGTCCGGGTCCAATGAGAACTGCTGCTGCTACCAGAGACCATACCAGGTATTGTGATTTTCATCAAGATCACGGTTATACAACAGAACAATGCAATAATTTAAGGTCCGAGCTGGAAAGTCTGGCGCAGAAAGGAATGTTGAATGAGTACATCCAGAGAGTTGAATAGCCACGGTTTGTCAGGGAACAAGGGATACAGCCTCAAGGAGTCCGTAACCCACCAAACAGGCAAGGTATGGGATATCAGCAAGCCCCACCCCCGCTCCCACCACCAGCTAGAATTATGCACATGATTACAGGAGGCCTAGAAGCTGGTGGACTGAGCTCTAAACATAGAAAGTTGTATGTCAGAGAGGTTAAGCATCCAAACCGCGCCCAGAAACGGAAATTTGATGATGCTGACTGGAAGAATCAACCTATTACGTTCACACCTGCTGATTTTGACACAGTTGTCATACCTCACAATGACCCCCTAGTCACTTCTGTCACGATCAATAATTGTGAGGTGCAGCGCGTCCTTGTTGACACAGGGAGTGCACTAGACATCATGTACTTCCATTGTTTTGAAAGTCTTGGGTTGGATCCGACTTTGTTGCAACGGTATGATGGTCCCATCTATGGATTCAACAACCAGTCAGTCCTAGTTGAAGGAGTCCTCACCATGAATGTTGCGTTTGGAAGTGGCCAGAGTTATGTGACCCCTTCAGTTAGGTTTCTGGTAGTCAAGATGGCGTCCTCATTCAATGTCGTCATTGGTCGACCCACACTGATTGAAATCCGAGCTGTGGTTTCCCAATCTCATCTATGCATGAAGTTCCCAACTCCTACGGGAATAGCAACGCTGCGAGGCAACCAAGAGGTGGCCCGACATTGCTATATCACCTCGGTAACACAACCTCAGAAGGGCAAGGCTCAGACACCCGAGATTAATCCCAAACGGATTCCTGATGATCGGCAAGTTATAGGTGTTGAGATAGTAGATAACCGACCAGAAGATGAAACCAGAGCTGCTCCAATCGAAGATGTGGAGGAGGTACATATTGATGACAGAGATCCGAGCCGGAAAACGCAAATTGGGACTAAATTGAACCCAGAGGAAAGAGCAGAGCTAATAGCTTTTCTTCGGGCCAATAAAGATGTTTTTGCATGGACTTCAGCAGA